CTGACACTTGAGTTTGAACATTGATTGCCAGTGAACAAACACAGGTGATTCCATTATTGAATTAAGTAGACCATAGAGGAAATACATAAGTAGGAAATCGCGTGATGTCTAGTTGATCGCTATTTCTCTTCTATCCTCTATTACTATACGAATCTCCATTTCTACTCTATCCTCTATTACTATACAGATCTCTTTTTCTATTCTATTCACAATATTATTTCTCTATTCAGATCACTATACAGGTTACTTGTCGAGTGAGTATTATTGAGTGAGTACTATTTGTGTGAGTGTTATTTGAAGGTGTCTGACACCAGCATTGTTCAACGAGGCACTATAGTTGTATCAGCAATTGAAAAGTCTCTACTACAACAAGAATTATGGAAGTGGCATTGAGTGTTCATTGACATCACAAAACATATATTCAAGTATAGTGCAAGTTTTTCATAATCAGAGATAATTTTTTTTTTTACACAAAAAATAGTAGGAGAGGGTCACAGGTAATTTTTTTTTTTTTTTTTTTTTTTGAAGAGGTTAAAAATCATTCTTTTTTGGTGATAGGTTGCACTGATATTTTTTCTGGAGAGGTTGAAATTCAGGAGTGACACTATATATGAAGTTTGTTTATACACAAGTATATATGGTATATAAAAAAAAAAACATGTACTTTATATATTTATCAATCATAAGAGAAAAGCTGGATTCATACCTAATCAAAATTTGATAAACAAGAAATCTGTATATAAAGTTGGATCAATTCTATGTTACAATCAATATATAAACTGTTCCCTCACTTTGTGGCAACTAGTTTCTGTGTAAAAAGTTAGGATGCTTGTCTCTGTTGGTAGTTGCATAATTGAAAGAAAGAAAAAACTTGTAATTCCAACAAATGGTTTATTTTTTATTTGTTGGAATTAAGAGATTTTTCTTTTTTTAATTAGTTTCTGTGTAGCTTTTCAGTATTTAATTGATTGGTTCTTTCATTTTCTGTGGCTTATCAACCCTTTGCATGTTATTTAAAGCCAGAAAATTTTTTAGATTCAAAGAATTTTTTTTTTTCTTTAGATAATGATTTAGTGATACAAGTCTTAATAATTCTCCCCCCCCCCCAATAGCTAGTGGAGAAGTGGTGTGTCTTCGATATGCGCTACCTACAAAAATGGAACAACTTATTTTCCAATTCTTAAGATTCAAAGACACAATTGATAAAAGCATACTGCTAAGGAATCTTAAATTCTTAAAATAAAAAAAGGTTAGTAAATGTAATTAATACTGTTTATTATAAACTGAGCATTTATTTAAATAATCGTATCTACAAAAATAATGTATAAACAGAAAATATATTAAAATAATTGTTAGACTTGGTCAATTTCATTTTATATATATATATATATATATATAAAGTAAAATAAAGAACAAATAGGAAATGTTTATCAATCTAACATGTTTCACTTTATTAAAGCTTAATCATAGAAAAAAAGAAGGTATTCTGGTATTTTAACTTTTGTCATTTTTTTCATTGCTTAATCAGGTTTCACATGTACTTGACTTGTTAAACAAATGTTAATATAATTTGTGGTGTTCCAAATTCAAGGAGAGATGATGTATCCATTTGACGTTTAAGAAATTTGTGGACTACAAGCCTAACTAAAGAAATGTAAATATTGTTTTAGGTATATATTGTAACCTAGAATGGGTTACTGAATGAGGAATAACCAAAACAGACATTGGGACTGAAATGGTAATTTTTATAACATCAACAAAATACAGTACTCGCTAGTGGCATGAAGTAGGGAAATTACAGCTAGTGGTGGACTACTTCATATATTACTCTCACTTACAATAGTGTCCAATGTATTTATGAGGATTGGTACATTACCCATTAGTGTTCATGGGTATGGTATATAACAATATATAAATTTAAAAATAATTCTAATCTGTCTATGTAAGATTGAAATTAAATTTATATTCATAACTGTGTGTCTAGTAGAGGTTTTAGTGGTTTTTCACATGTTGATTTGGGAACATATTTTCATACATACCATTTGTTTTAGATAAACATGCGTTAGATTCTTTAAGAATGGATTCAATAAAGGTTGGTGATGTTATGTAATGTTTTTGATGTGTGTTTATAGTTGGTAATATTATTAGTCGGCCCTTGAAACATATCTGGAACAGTGCTGTAAACAATTTTGCTGTAGGAAAACTAGACTCAGGAATTTTCACTGTAGGAAACTTCACTATATAGGATTTTTGGTGAGATAATTTCATCATTTTTTTTTTTTTTTTTCTGATACTCTTATCTTGAATGTCCCTTTTGTAGTAATGTTCAATTTAATATGAAAAGTACCTTTTTATCAAGTATATTTTATTGGCAGACTGATATTATGTTAACAGAAAGTTTAACGTTAAGTCTGAAATATGAAATTGAATGATGTAGGTTCTAGTGTCATGTTGAAATTTTTACGTTCCTCACTTACGAGGATGAATGATGTATGATTTTGACCTTATAACTTTGCTTATTAAAATGTTTAAATCAAAGTAACAATAATGTGAGTCGGATAGACTTGATAACAAGGTACTTCACATATAAAAAAAAAATGCAGTGAAATTGTCTTACGGCTGCAATTTTCACCGCAAGAAACTTTGCCGTATTGGATTTTTGCCATAAGACAATTTCGCCGCATTTTTTTTGATAACTCTACACTTGCTTTAAGTGTTCAAATTAAATATTCAATTTAGGCATTTTAATTATTTTAAATTGTTTAAATATCTTTGTGTTTGATTAATTGAATGTCAATTATACTTTTGATCAAAAGGTGGTGTGTTATAATGTATTTTGAAATATAAGAAAATATATTTCAATTTTTAGGTATTTATAGTGAATTTAAAACAGTTTATGTTTGCAAATAATTTGTGTAAATTTCAAAAGACTTACTGAGTTTGAAAGGGTTATCTTTCTTTGATCAGATATTTTATATTGAAGTTGGTTGCATATTCAAGTTGTAAGTTTATTTGAAATAATATATATTACTTAAGTGAGAATTATTGGCAGACTGATATTATGTTAACAGAAAGTTTAACGTTAAGTCTGAAATATGAAATTGTGTGACGTAGGTTGAAATTTTTGCACTCCTCACTGACAAGTATAAATGATGTAGGATTTTGGTCCTATAACTTATTAAAATGTTTAAATTCAAGTAACAATAGTGTGAGCCAGATATACTTGATAACATGGTATTTTGTATATTTAAAAAAAAAAAAAAAATGGTGAAATTGTCTATGGCGAAAATTCCTGAGGCATGTTTTCCTATGTTGAATGTCCCTAGAACCCCCCTTGAAGTACTTTGACAAAGAATTATGTTCATTTTTAATTAGCGTGGCATTTATAAAATCAATGAGATGTGAAACAGATCATGGCATAGTCACATGTCACTCCATCTCAATTTAAATTTTGAAAATCCTAGAACGTTGAAACTTGGAAAGTTTCTCTAAATAAATATTCTTAGACTCCAGTTGCATTTTTAACTTCCTTTTCTATATAATTTTACCTGAGTGGGATGTATATAGACAAACCTTATTTCCTTTATTTATGTGAACCAGTGTCTCTCAGGTTTTAAACCCGGCACACCATAATCAAATATTTCATTCAGTTGAGGCCAAATTTTGTAAAGCACAATATTTGGTGGCCTTTTGTGACTGACTGCTCTTCATGGCCAAATTGGTTAAAGCATGCTGGGTTTATATTTCATTAAAGATGACAGACAAGTTACTGCAATTAAGCTTTTTATTTAACTGTGTTTGAACAAATGTTTGCTTTTCTGGACACAGAGTGTGTAGAAACTGTCCAAATGTACTGTAATTCAGGGGTGCTTTCAGCTATACTTTTAGCCATTATTAAGGATGATTTCATTTTTACTTATTTAACTGGGTGTATGGGTTGTGTGCATGTATCTAGAGTTAGAGGGATGTTTTATTTTCTAAATGCAGCACGTTGGGGCCATGTTCATAGTTAATATTGAGTGTTGGCTTTTTCTTTATTATTCGGGTTTCTATTATTATTATTTTTTTTTTTTTTAACATGTGGATGAGGTTATTATGTCTGTATTTTCTACTAGTATGTTTCAGATGGAGTCTGGTAAGTTTGTGTGTGTGTTTAAATGGGTTCTAATGGATCTGTGGTCAGATAGGTGCTGGATAATGGCTAAAAGTATAGCCAAAAGCGCTTGGAATTACAGAACATTTGAACAGTTTCTACACACTCTGTGTCCAGAAAAGAAAACGCTTGTTTGAACACAAGAAAATTATATAAAAAGCTTAACTGCAGTACCTTGTCTACCTTTAATGAAACGTGTATTAATGTAGCATTGCTACCTAAATATATACACACACACACACACACACACACACACACACACATATATATATATATATATATATATATATATATATATATATATATAGTCATCCACAAACATTTTGACTGTATCACAGCTCTTCAGTGTGGCTAGACATCTGATTGTTTCAAGCCAGGCTCGAAACCCAACTGATTTGGCATCAGCCATATATATATATATATATATATATATCTCCAGTATTTTTGTGTATCAGTCTTATCAGCTCCCCATTATTAGGGTATTGTTTTGCTGTCATTATAACCGACTCATTTTTATGTCCTGAATTCTTATTTACTATAGATGGGTTCTTCATGCGCGCACACACACACACAATCTGCATGAATCTTTTATTAGTTGTTTTTTTTTTTTATATCAACTTTTTGCTGTTTAAATATTTTTTTAAATATTTTTAGATTGTAAGAATTTTTGAGAGAGAATGATTTACTGATACAATTAACCTATGGCTGTGGGGAAAAGAGGTACAGTTATATCTTTCCCAAATATATTTGCACATAAGTGAATATGTTGAGTACAACTGGAATTGGAACTAACTTCTCTGATTTCAAATTCCGAGTCGGTATACATTCCACCACCAACATATCCAAGCTTACAGCACCTGGTATTCCCAAGTGGTCATCCATCTAGGTACTGACCTGTCTCATGTTGCTTAACTTCAGTGATGCTATGAGAACCAGTGTTTCAACATGACATAGCTATAAACCAATTACATCAACCACACATCCAAGCTTACAGCTTACATTCAATCTGAGAGCATCTGGTATTCCCAAACAGTCACCCATCTAGGTACTGCTCAGGCCCGACATTGCTTAACTTTAGTGATCATACAAGAACAGGTGGTTCAATGTGATGCATCCATAAGCCCGCTGTGCATGGATTATTACAAAGAATAGCTGCTTTGTATTAAATTTTTATATTTGGCACTGTTTCGAGAAGTGAAAGGTCAAACAGCTGGAGAGAAATGTTTTGGCATGACCAGTATATGTTGATTTTATTTTTTTTATTGATAGTGGTTATAGTCTCCATAAATATATATCTCGTGGAGGTCATAAAAATTATCAAAGATTCAATGGGGAGTGGGGTTAAAAGTAGAGATAAAACTCACACCCACAGCTGTTGGAGAAAGACCGACATTGAGGAAAGTGATAAGAATTATTATTGTATTTGATTGACTATAAAACATGTTTTACAATTCAGTCTGATCTCTTATGTAATTTCAGCATGCAGGTCTGCACTCAACATAAAATGGCCAACTTATATGGCAGTTTCAGGTAGATATAGCTCATCAGCCCAGGAAGGTAGTCCATCTAGGGGAATGAAAACCCTGGTTTTAAACCTCTGTTGATACTGAAAAAGCTCTGGTGATTTTTCAAAGCATAGCCTAGATGTGGCAGAAGACTTGAAAGTATGGGGCACCCAGTGAGGATCGAACTCACTACTCAGTTGTAATTGTTCTAACGAGACAAGTTTGCTAAACATTACACCGCCTCGAGGTGCCCAATGGTGATTTGCCAAGCGTAGCTTAGATGTGGCACAAGGCTGAAAGTATGGGGCACCCAATGAGGATCAAACTCACTATTCATATTTTTAATTTTTTTTCTTTTTTTTTTTCCCCCCCAGTAAGCTTCACCTCGTATAAGACCTGGGGGCCATTCAAGGTAGATGGTTACATTAAGGGGTAGTTTATATGGATAGGAGGAGAAGATAACAGTTAACTCTAGATTTAGATTGTAGTGGTTACAGAAACATCCTCTTGGGAGTCTGTTCCACAGGGCAGTGGTTTGTGGGAAGAAGCTGTTTGAGTGGAACTTCTCACTGATAGAATACGAAGGGAAGGTGGGTGGTCTGCTACAATGTAAATGGCATGGTGGTTCCTTGCTGTGAAGTTTAGACCTTGCAAAATAAAGGAATATAGTTTGTCTGAGCACTTTCCATAGAAATAGTGATAGAGGCTTGCCACATCCCACCTGTGTTAAAGAGGTTGGAAAATAATTCTTCTCCAACAAAAACTCTGAGATACTTTTGAATTCTATCAAGACTAGAAAGTGAGGACTGGGCAGTATGCTAACCATAACACCATGTCAAAGTGCCCTTTTAAATGATTTTCTAAGCAAAAAAAAAAGAAAAATTTCTCCACTTGTCATTGATTTTACTAATGTTATTCTGGTATATTGCAGCATACCTAAGGACAATAATGGATATGTTCCCATTCATATAAATACAATAGTAAATACTGTATGTTGGTCTGCAGCTGGAGATTCATTGTGGAATTCACTTGACTCACTTCTAGCAATTGACTACTACTTCTATATGCCACAGACAAATCTTATATGTGTTGTTAAATGTCTTAAGTATTATCGTTCATTACCAACCTAAGTTTGGTTACTCTATTTAGTAACATTTTCATTTAATACTGTGGGTCATTGGCATATCATTAGTACCATAGGGTTTTCAAACACAAATATTATGTATATATACACTTCTGCATGCTGCTGGCGAATCTTATATGTGTTGTTCTTGTCCTAAGTATTATCGTTCATTACCAAACTTTGTGTGATTATTCTATTCAGTAACCTTCCCTAGGTTACAACATAACATATAAAAGTTTATATATCTTTTTCACATACAGTGCACGATGGATACATTGTCTAAATTACCCAAAAATGAAAATGACATTGAGATCTCATTTTAACAGATATATTTACCAAAATTTGCATGCACAAAATAAGGGCATTTTAATATTCACACAGATAAAGTGAAAAGTAGGTACCTCCACTAATTCGCTAAAAAATGAACATACCATAATAATGGGTATGTCCCCATTCACATAAATATAATAGTAAACACTGTATGTTGGTCTGCAGTTGAAGATTCGTCTTCAGCTGTGCTGGTCAAAGGCTATGTCGAACGGCATAGTCTCGTCACGAGAAACAGCTACCCGACCCCGTTCTATACGGTGTCTACGGGTAATTTTTGGCTGAGCCTACGGGCTTGGATACCCCACATTAAATTCGGTCTTGTGCCACATCTGACCGCATGAGGTGGTTGGTAGATATCCTGAAGCTGGAGATTAATTGTAGAATTCACTTCTAGCAGTTGCCTATTACGCGCTACTGGCGAATCTTATATGTGTTGTTCTTATCCTAAGTATTATCATTCATTACCAACCTTTGTTTGATTATTCTATTCAGTAACCTTCCCTAGGTTACAACATTTTTGAAGAGCTGAAAGATGAAATTTTTTATTGTATTTTTGCATGCCCTTTGTTCAGCTTCACAGAGTTCAAATTCCATTCAGGTTCATTCACTTACACACAAACATCTTTGAGAAAGGTATGAATCAATCTCATCTCCCCTACACTATGGGTTAAATATAAGGACAGACTGGGTCCTATAGCATTGGTTGGCCACCAGTTTACAACAGAAAGAAACAGCAACTTACTGCAGGGCAATCTTCTGCTTAGTCATGAATTGAAAGAAACATGATCATCGGAACATGTCTTACATATGGCACTTAACTGATGATGAGGATGCTCTATCATCTATCATATCATTAATGAAAATGCAGTAACTTGTTTTCTTGTTTTCTAAGATCATAAAATGTACTGAGAAAAACGCTACTATTCACTCTAGATTTTGGAGTAAAATTAACAAAAGAAATTAATTTACTAAGGTGGCCCACAAGTTTTGTAAAAAAAATGACTGTGGTTAAGTTTCTTATTTAAGTTTTCTTCAGTATCTGTCTATATCTCTGTTGTAACCTAGAGAATAGAATAATCAAACGAAGGTTGATAATGGACAATAATACTTAGGACAAGAACAACACGTATAAGATTCACCAGCAGCGCGTAGAAGTAGTCAACTGCTAGAATTCAGTCAAGTGAATTCCACAATGAATCTTCAACTGTAGACCAACATACAGTATTTACTACTGTATTTATGTGAATAGGAACATACTCATTATTGTCCTTAGGTATGCTGCAATCTCTGAGATGAGGTATTATGATTACTTGCATTATTTAGAGTATTCGAACTGTTATCCTCATCTTCATTGCCATATTCACAACGTAACTTCTACTGAGACTTTTCTAGTTGTCTCCATATTTTTGGTATATCGGATCCATATCGATTCTTCAATATCTGTCTATATCTCTGAGAGGAAGTATTATGATTACTTACATTATTTACATTATTCAGATTATTATGCAAATTGTCATTGCCATATTAACAATGTTTTGGCTGTTGTATGCTCTGGCTTTCTTCACGTGATTGGAATTTTGAACTGAACCCTTTATTTTCTCCACCGGGTTAGATTGCTGTAGCTAAAGATGTTGGTTAGATCCAGTGACTAGAGCCAAATCGTTGTGAGTTCAGTATCAGGCCACAGCAGGGAGAGTTGAGTTAATGGGAAATAACAGATATCTGGAAGAGGCATGGCATGTGGAACTAGAACGATCTACCCCTATGGACGAAATAAAGGGTTCGGTTTGAAATTCTAATCACCTGAAGGAGGCCGGAGTATACAATGGCCAAAACATGAATATGGCAATGAAGATGAGGACAACAGTCTGAATAATGTATGTAATGCAAGTTTTCTTGTGTTCTTATAATTTTCTTTTCTTGTCATAAATTATGTAGAAATTGTCTGCATGTCCAAGTGCTTTTGGCTATAATCTTAGTCTACATCAATGATTATTTTTACTTTAACTGATGATAAACTAGTAAAGACCAATAAACGAGTTTAGTAATAGACAAACATTTGATTAATAGCCAGCAATGTGCCCAGTCTTATAGCCCATCTACTATGACTTGAAACCTTTTGAATCTGTGTACATTAAGTTTTAAAAGCCATCCCTCTGTCAGCAAAGACATTCTTATTGCACTAAAAAGTAATTAATCTTTAAGCGTTGTATATTCTTGCATATAACATTTGGTCTTGGGCTTTTCATTTTATCTTTTAATTTGTTCGTTTTCATCAGACTAAAATTTTGTATCCTGAATAGAATATTTTAAATACTCAATCTGCCCAACTACTATACATCACTAAATCAAGTGCATTGATGAAGTAAATTATTTTGCAAAATATTTATGTAACTTGTTTTTGTCATTTAACTGAAGACATACATATATAAAATAAATAAAGTTACTGCATAATTATTAATTTAATTAATAATTATAATATAATTAAGATGTCTATTTTTCAAATTAAATATATTCACAAATATTAAATTGTATCCAATGAATTGGTATTATAGATTGTAAGCTGATTGCCTAAAGCTGAAAAATTAAGAAAGTGATATACATTTATATCTGAGTTGAGTTGTCTCCCTTACTAAGAAACTGTTTGGAGGTTGTCTTGACAAAGTGGAACCAACAGTTAATTTACATGACACTTGTTGTGATGAGTGGTTTGCCTATCAAGACAAAATTCACAGCAATATAGAAGGCATCCATTTTTCTTGTGAAATCATGGTAGCACCTTGTTTGGTCAAAATCCTATCTTTTGGTGGCAATAGTGGTGGGCTCACTTGGCTGCTCTGGATTGGATTATTGTATATGGAGACTGTGCTGTCCAAAACATATGGCCACATCCATGGACATACCAAGATTCAAAGGAATACAGAACATTACATTTGGGGATGGCTTAGTTGCAGGAGTGTATATGCACTCCTGCAACCATCCCAAATGTAATGTTCTGTATTCCTTTTGCTTATATATATATATATATATATATATATATATATATATATATATATATATATATATATATATATATATATATATATATATATATATATATAACATACAATGGATAAATTGTCTAAATTACACAAAAATTAAAATAAC